CGAATGCTTCCATATTTGTTTACTCAGAGAGATGTTCACTCCACGACAGTCAAAGAGTCATTGAAGCCACGCCTGGAATTAGGCACTCAAACCCATGATGCTTTGCGGCCTGCTTGTCGAACCTCCTCTGTAACTTTATATAAAGTAGATGAATACTGAGAACAACATTGCCTAATATGGTCATCTATTAGTTTTAGCGTAATGATTGACATTTGGATAAAAGTAAACAATATAGGTTTTTATAGTGCATGTGAAAACAGGGCGTATTATTTTGAGACTGCGAGAAATACGAAGAGATTTATACGGAAGCCGTGAAGGGACTTCAGACTTCAGACTTCGGACTTCAGACTTCAGACTTCGGACTTCAGACTTCAGACTTCAGACTTCAAACATTGGTACCGAGCTTCGCTAATAGCCAACAATGCTTCTGCAAAGCTGGCTAATATTTAAGGCACATATTCAGTCAAAGCTATTCAAACTAAAGTCAACAATGTTCAGAATGATTAATTTAGATTGCAAATGCAGACTGTTGGAATGTGTCAGTGAGTTCTGAAAGTTCTTTGCAGGTTTAAAGGCAGAACGATAAACCATATAATAATATTGTTTGTAGAAACACCACAAAAATTTATTACTGCAGTAAATTTATTAACTTTTTCTGTAAATTTATGAAGTTAAGTATAACACGCGCTCAAAACTAATGCGTATAATATACCACTTGAGGTTATGACAAAATTTTTATTTTTCGAAACGTTTCTCAATCGGCAACAAACTTAAAAAGTATGTTTAGTGCTTCATCTGTAAAATAATGCTAAATTGAAAAGATTTCAGACTACACCAAAGCGAAAATTATGTATGAAGTTCAGTAAGTTTGCTTATATTGTATGGAGGGTGATTACCGCCAAAATTAATGTTTGAATTTTGCATTCCAAGTTCTAGATTTTGTTGTTCGTTCCGTGCTTTTTGATATTAAAGAATGAATTGAATTTTGATATTAAAGAATTGAATTTTGATGTTCGCAATTGCATTTGCACTTCTGTTTGCGCATTTTGTCCTGACCCTCAGAACACAATTTTCAACTCGATTTAATGATAATTTATTTCCCGCAGAAATTTTAATTATCTCTAATTATTCCAAAATTGTTATAGCATACGGATAAAATGGCTGAGAACCGTTCAAAATCACAAGAAGCAGCAACTTTTAATATTACGCCGTGCAGCAAGCATTTTAACGCACAATTCTGCTGAAAGTGAAGGATGTTGTGCAAGGAACAGCGTTACAGCAATATGGGAAATACAGTGCGTCCAATTGAATTCAACCTGCTCTAAGTCAACAAGCCACAACCTCTAGTCACGATGAATTTCGGCGACTATTCTCCCTGTACAATAGGGCTAACAATAGCAGTCTCGTTCATCAACCTCCGGCGAAGCGCGGTAGAGGTAATTCTTGGGGACAAACGCGCTCTTTTAAGCCACAAGATACGTGGACACACGATTTTTTGGTTTGGCACAAGTAGCTCGCTGAATTAACTCGTATTAAATTAATGCACTTTAAGATGTGAAATGTATGAAGTAAATCTTGATGTGAAATTGTGAATACGCTGAATACGATTATTTACAAATACAAACTCTCCACTTCTAAAAACGCCAGCAAAAACACTTCTTTAGATCGAGTATGAAACGCTCAGCAAGCGTCTTGTTTACTGTAAATTTATATGTATGATCATATTACATGTATGTAACATTAAAATTTTTGCGGGAAATAAATTATCATTAAATCGAGTTGAAAATTGTGTTCTGAGGGTCACGCATAATGTTACGTCATCACAATGGAATGCTTAAGGACAAAATGTGCAAACAGAAGTGCAAATGCAATTGCGAACATCAAAATTCAATTCTTTAATATCAAAATTCAATTCATTGATATCAAAAAGCACGGAACGAACAACAAAATCTAGAACTTGGAATGCAAAATTCAAATATTCATTTTGGCGGTAATCACCCTCCATAATATTGCTCGGCTTAAATATGGCGTCAACTTTAAAGCATCATTGATAATTGTATTTTAATTGACAATTTTTAACTATGATTTTATGTTTCTCAACCGGCAGATGCATTTAAAAAGGTAGCTAACTGTATAAACTAAAGAATAAAGCAAAAACAAAGTGATTCTAAGAGGAGGAACGCAAAAGCAATGTTGGCTATTAGCAAAGCTCGGAACCAATGTCTAAAGTCTAAAGTCTAAAGTCTAAAGTCTAAAGTCTAAAGTCTGAAGTCTGAAGTCTGAAGTCTGAAGTCTGAAGTCCGAAGTCTGAAGTCCGAAGTCTGATTGTCAAACATTGGTTCCGAGCTTCGCTAATAGCCAACATTGCAAAGCATGCTTTTGCGTTCCTCCTCTTAGAATCACTTTGTTTTTGCTTTATTCTTTAGTTGTTGTAAATAGTTAGAATCACTCGATAAAAGGGTTAAAACTTCTTTAATTCTTACTTTAACTTCGACATAAAGTAGACTTTGTGTTCCTTGTTAATATTATACAATTCCAGGAAAAGCATGCGTTCTTCCAGGAAAAACCACACGCGTCTCGCGCGATTCTCACGCGTCCATACCTCACGCGTCCATTCTCACGCGTCTGGAGCATCAGGATTCAGTTCCACTAATTTGGTTTGTTCTACCCCCGAATCACGAGACAGTTCGACAGGATATAAAAACTGTACCGCACGTTCCATGATCGACTTTGCAGTGCGCACTTTCGCACCTCGAATAACACCGTCTCTCCCCTGGATCAACTCGATTATGATTCCAAGTACCCATGCGCCTCGATTCTTTTGTTCGGACTGAATAATAACAACTTCTCCGACCGAGGGTATTCCTCGTCCTCCTTTCTTCTTCGCGATGTATCTTTCTCGAAGGCTTCGAAGATATTCCGTTGACCATCGTCTCCAAACAGCGTCCTTACATTTCTGAAGATATTTATATCTCTTTCGCAAGTCCTTATTTTCGATTAGATGATGGGAAGGTTCCAAGAGTTGGTTTGCTCGCAAAAACAACAAAGAATTAGGAGTTATCACGGTTGATTGAACATCTTTTTCTTCGACATATCCCAGGGGTCGATCGTTCAGTGTAGTTTCCACACTCAGCAAGACGGCTTCGAGCTCTTTCCAACTTAATTGACCATGACCAATCACCTTGTAGAGCGCTGCCTTCACTAAACCAACTAATCTTTCAAATTGCCCGCCCCACCATGGGGCACGGCTCAAGTTGATATGATATGCTATGATATGCTATTTCTGGCTAGGTAATCCTGCAACCCTTCGTCTTGCTTCAGCATTTTAACCCACTTCGCCGCCGCTACAAACGTCGCCCCGTTGTCCGAATAAATACGCTCAGGACGACCGCGTCTTGCAATAAATCTTTGGAGGCTGTTTAGACACTCAGACGTCTCCATGTTAGGCAGAAGTTCGAGGTATACTCCACGAGTAAGACTACAAGCGTATAACAAGATGTACGCCTTGCCTTCTTTTCCTTTCGACTTTCTATAACGTAGTGGACCCGCGTAATCAATTCCGATAACTTGATATGCAGTGGATCCTTCGGTTCTGGTGGTTGGTAAGTTCGATGGAGGGGGCGTTGCGTAAGCAATGGCGTGGAATCGCTTGCATCCATGGCAATCTTTAATAACCCGCTTCACTAATCGTCGCAAACGAGGGATCCAATGTCTTTCTCGAACGTTCACCATTGTCAATCCGACTCCCCCATGAAGTGTGGACTTGTGTGCATGTTCGACGAATTTTCTTGCCAGCAATGATGAACTAGGAATGTAGACCGGGTAAAACCCCTGAACTCTTCCTCTGCACTCTAAAACACCGTCCTCATTTAATTGTAAATTAAGTTGCAATTGATCTCTCGTAAAGGTTTCGTCAACTTGTTGTTGAGCTTTCGTGGTCAAACGAATTTCAGCTTTCTTTAAATCGCCGGTTGTAAGTGGGCCTTCGATTCTTCTTTCTTTCGCACACCGAATGTTTTCAAGGAACCGTAATAACCAGGCCGTAATCCTCAAGGTCTTCCAATAAACAAACTTAGAGAGCAAGTTCCCTAACTCGTCCTCTTCTTCCTTGGCCAAGGCAAACAATTGCTTCGTTAGCTTCACTTCAACATCGCTCTCTGTAGTGCGAGTCGTCCTTTGATCTGGTGGCCATTCGTCAGGTTTACTTAGCCAGTCAGGACCCTTCCACCACAACTGATCTCCCTCTTTAATTAACCCACCACGGCTCGCGACATCAGCGGGATTTTCTTTGCTAGGTACATGTCTCCATGTCACTCCTTCATGCTCACGAATTTTGTTGACACGGTTAGCTACGAAAGTTTTGTACTCTCCTTCGCCACGGATCCAGTGTAGTGCGACACTGCTATCTAACCAACCAACAAGGGATGTTACTGGAAACCCTTCCAAGGCACTGTGTACGTTGTCAAGTAAATTTACCGCCATGTGCCCCGAGACCAATTCTTTCCTGGGGATTGTAAGCCCTTGCTTCGCGAGTCTTGCTTTCGCACAAACGAGACCTTGATTTACTTGAGATTCTTGAGTGACCACAGCATACACCGCTGCACCGACCCCATGGCCACTCGCATCACCAAAGGCGTGAAGGGTTATGTCCTGAATGGGTTCTTGGGCAATTGGTATAGATCTTGGAGCCCTGACGTGATGAGGGAGGTGGTTTTCCCACTTTCGCCAACGTTTAGTCAATTCGTCAGGCAATTCTGAGTCCCACTTACACTTTTGTTCACAAGCTTCTCTGTACAGAAGCTTACCTTGTAGGACTGTGGGAGCTATGAGGCTAAGTGGATCATAGATTCGGGCTACTTTACCAAGTATACCTCTTTTGGTGGGAGCTACTTCGTCAGAAGGAATAGTCACCTCAATTGTGTCCACTTCTTTATCCCATTTCAAACCAAGGAGGTTGCCTGCTTTCGATTCGTTGCCCAATTGTTGTTTTGCAAAACTTGTGTCATCACTACTGTCCGATTGTTCGTTCTGTTCTAACTCTTTGACATTTGATTGCCACTTGTGTAAATGGAATGACGCTTCTTTAAATATTTCAACTGAGGCTTCCTTCTTCTCACGCACTTCTTGCACTGAAGTCCCTCCGGTTACTAAGTCATCGACATACAACTCTTTCTCTATTTCTTCAGCATGCTTAGGGTACTTCTCTTTACTCGCATTCAAATGACATTGTAATACTCCTGCCAACAGGAATGGTGATGGTCCCATGCCGAACAGTGCTCGAGTGAATCTCAGAGTGCAAATACGTTGAGGATCTTTATCTTCCAACCAGTGAAATCTCATTGCATCTCTATGTTCTGTCCGAATACATACTTGAAGAAATGCCTTGCGAATGTCACCATTAAGTGCAACAGGATGGAAACGTCCTCGAACCAGAACTTTGAAAAGTTGATTCTGTAACGGTGGACCCGTGTTCAAACAGTCATTTAGGGATGGTTGGGATCCTGTTTTCGAAGACGCATCGTAAACTATTCTCGTTTTTGTGGATTCTGATGATTCACGCACGACCGGATGATGAGGTAAATAGAACACAGTTCCAGTTGGTGGCTCATTTGCAGGTTCAACAACTCCTTCTTTCAGTTGGTCTTGAATAATTGAATTGTATTCATCGAATTTGTCAGTTTTCTTCAATCGCTGCACCAAGGTCCCCAAACGTTTCAAACTGTTCTCCTCATTTGAGGGCAAAGGCGGATGGCCTCCCTTCCAAGGGAGGCCAGTCTCATACCACCCATGTACAGGATCACGCCGAAGCTGTTCCAAAAACTCTTCATGCACAACTTTCTGGTCTCCAGATGGTGTGTCTTGAATACCGAGAACATCCATGCGACAAAGTTCCTCATAATCAGATTGAGCAGTTTGAGCAAGAAACATATTGTCTAAATTGGGCTGAACTCCTGGCGACATAATTGACCAGCCAAACTGAGTGAACTCCGCCACAGGGTCCCTCATTTCACCGGTTCTTTGTGGTTCACTAGTCTTGATCCTTGAATATTCTGCTGCCCCCAATATGAGGTGTACTGGAAGGACTGATTTGGTATCCGTTTCCACCATATTCACGCCTTGTAGGTGTTGGAACCGACTAATCAACTCTGGGTAATTTGGATTCACAACTGACAAGAGATTTCTGCGGTCAACCTTTGTTACATTCACTGGGATAACAAAGTTTCCTTCTGTGTTGCTAACTTCAAGATTGTAGATTTCAACATGCTTCGTTATTGTCCCTGTGATGGTTTGAATACACCGTGTCAAGGTATTAGATGGATTGATCTTCATTAGGCTGAGAAGATATGCAGATGCATACGATGTCGTAGCTCCTGTGTCCAGTAGTGCTCTACAGGTAATGCCATTTGCTTTGACAATAACAATGGGGTGACAAACCTTTTGCTCTTCGTGTGTTGCTGTCATAGCTGCTTGTCCTGGAATTTGGTTATGTGGAGGTTTCTCTAAAGTGTCACAAATTGATGAATGATGTTTTTTCTTGCAGTGAAAACAGGTAACTCGACTTCGACACTGTGCTGCATGGTGTCTTCCACCCGTACAATTAAAACATAACTTCTTTGCTTGTAGCTTTCGTTTACGCTCAGTTGGTGTAGCAACCTTCTTACATTCATACGACTTGTGCTGTTCGTCATCACAGTAAACACAACCCTTTGGTGTTGAGGAATCTTTGGAGAAGAACGAATGGTTGCGGTTGTAGGGGGTCCTAGGGTTATGTTCGCTTGAACTTTCCACCGGGTGTATTGCTTTCCAATTTTCCAGAGCTTTTAACAAATCAGCAAATCCCCAATCTTGCCATCCAACCTGATTAGTGACCAACTCTGCCTTAATACCAGGTAATTTCTCTATAACACCCCGTACCATTGACAAACTCTGCGATAGTTTACCCAATGTTTCTAACGATTGTACATTGTAGCTCAGGTTCTTAATAAATTCATGTATCTTGTTTACTTTCCTGCCAGTTATTGTAGGCAACTCTTGAATGTTTTTTACATATGCCCTAACAATTTCACTTGTATTCCCATGATTAGTTTTCAAAATGTTTTTAGCACGGGTGTACCCCTCCATTGTAAAGGGTAGCCCATCAATCTCGTCACACACATGGGGCTCTAACAGTTCCTTTAGGTAAGAGAACTTGGTTACAGCTGGGAGGTCAGTATTGTCTATTTCAGCTTCAAATTTATTCCAGAAAGACAGCCATCTTTCATATGTACCATCATACTTTGTTATTACTAACTTAGGCATTTTAACACTGCTCACCTTTGCTTGTTCTGGCTTTGTTGACTTGACACTAACCGAACCCAAGCTAGCCATTTGTTCCAATTTACATTTTTCGAAATACAGTTCTTCGTCCCGTTGTTGTTTTAGCAATATTTTCTCCTTTTCACGTTTCTCGTTCTCAGTCCTCGCCTTGGCTTCTGTTAAATATTGATTTAAGTGTGATATTTCGCAATCCGTCTCATCAATCTCGCCTTCGATATCGACTCCCCATTTTTGAACATCTTCGATCGCTTCCCCGTCTTGTAGTTTGTCCTTTTCGCCTTGTATTTTAAGATCTTCTAATTCTTTCACAATTTTCCCCAACGCTTCTTTATGTCGAATGATTTTGTCAAGATTTCCCTTCTCTAGAATCGCTTTCGTTTTGCTTCGTGTGAGTTTTAATAGCTGTCGCTCGGTGTCTATAAAATTATCGCTCTTTTTATCCATTTTATCTGTTATTTTCTGTTTTTTTTCGCTCACATATCCCGTGTGGAGGTGCCACGTGTTGTTAATAGTTAGAATCACTCAATAAAAGGGTTAAAACTTCTTTAATTCTCACTTTAACTTCGACATAAAGTAGATTTTGTGTTCCTTGTTAATATTATACAATCCCAGGAAAAGCATGTGTTCTTCCAGGAAAAACCACACGCGTCTCGCGCGATTCTCACGCGTCCATAATTAGACTAACATTACGTCATTCTCGACATGGCTTCTCAAATGAATCGAGACGTAACAGAATGTTTTCGTTTGCTGATTTGAATAGATTTGAATTCTGGTTTGCTGATTTCAATTCTTAACCAAGCATGTTAGCATGACGTAATTAGGAATTCTATTCAAGTAATTTTGCATGTGTAATTAAGATATTTGATGAAAACACTAGTGACTTTCATCAAGTTTCACCGGGTTATCCAAATGGCATCTTGTGATCAAATAGGTGATTATCATTGGCTGAATTGCTCATGAATTATTAATGAACTGGAAATGAATTGATGGATATTGTCAAGCAAGCGTCCTTTTATTTCTTCGAGCCGTCTGATATTGTAAACGCCGTATCCCGGTCTAACCCTCCTTCTTCGACAACAGCTTTTTTCAGCTGTGCTTTTTCGTATATGGTATTAGCCCATCCTCTTCTTTAGGGACATTTTCAAAAGGAAAGGCCATACTTGGTTCCGATCCACCAATTTTTCGTTTCACAGTTTCACGAGCAAATTTACTTATCTAAAGGTACAGTAAAATATGGATATTTAATTTAACTCTAAATATTTAATTATTAAATTTTGAAAGGATGTTTGAGATTATAGTCCTTATAACCAATATAATATATGATGTACAAACTGAAGACACAAAAGATCTACTTCTTTGCAGTTTTGATGACCTATATATAGTACAAAGCCATAAACATTAGAATTCTTTACATTTTGCAGATATTAATAATAATAATAATAATAATAACAGTCTTTATTCATACTCAAGAACACCCGTCTGTGAGTTTACATTATAAAAATATATAAGATAAAATTATTGATATCTATAAGGTAATAACTAGATATATACAGTTATGGATAAAAATATTAATAATGTTAAAAAGGTAAAGGTTAAAATTGGTTAAACAAAGTTAAACAAACATCGATTTACAAAAGAACTTTTAAATCGCTCTGTTCTCACTAATGGAAGTTCAAACTCGTGTCCCCTTGGCCTAAGGTGTCTATTTAATTTATCTGGTAAAAGCTCCTGTAGTCTACTTGTGGAAAGCCTTGAAACCTTTTAATGAACCATTTTCCAAATGATTCAACTATTTCGTTGGATGACTGGATCACAGACTGTGTACGTTGTTGTGTTCTATCAGTAAAATCCATCGATCTTGAGTCCTTCGATTTTTTTGACACAACGGGATTTACCACCTGTTCGAGGAAAAAACCACATCTTGTATCAAATATTTACTATAGCATATTTTACTCGATAAGAAGTATCGACTGTTATGCGTAACTGATAGTCATTACAAATTACCTACCATCATAAAAGCCTCACGCTGATTTCCAAAATACTGTATGAGAGATTCGGAAATCCGCACAATCTCAAAAGGTATTTGTTCCTCTATTTCGCACTCATTTTCCATCTTCTCATTGTCGATAAAATGAGTGACGACAGTCAAAAGGACGTGAAGAACACAAGTAAGCCTAAAAAAGGACCATGTAAGTAACAGATTTTTAAGCCGTCATCATTTCCTTTTAAAAGGGACCGGTCATTATTTATGGCAGGGGTGGGGGCCGACGAGAAAATGGTGGGGTAACTGTAAAATAATACTTTCTTCACAGTGTAGGTGGGGTGGCCAAAAAATCCTTGCATGCAGAGGTGGGGTAAAAAAACCCCATATTTTAATCACACACAATACAATATATACTACTAACAGAGTTTAATATGTGATTATTCTAATTTTTTAAATAAAATATTATTGCTTTCCAAAATGTTGAGAGAAACACCCACCCTCAACCCACTGTAAGGTGTCATTTTATTCATTTACACACAAAATCTCCAAAGACTCAATAAGGGCTGTTTATATGGTGCAAGCCAGCCCTAACCCTGGGTACCCAAGTTGGGCCAGTTTTGGCGAGATCCGTCCTTTGGTGTTATTTCATATTAAAGTTCACCTTGTGTATATATGAGTAAAGAGTAGGCCCACCTAAGTGAGATCCCGCCCCTTTAGCCCGAGATCTTGCTAAAGCTGGGCCAAAACTCCCCCTAGGAAAAGTGAGCTACTGTAGCCCCCAAGCCTGGGCATCCAGGCTCGCCCCCATATAAACATCCCCTTATTACATATCTTAATATATATATATAGTCTATTAAATTTTCAGGATTTAATTTTTGGGCATTCACACTTGATACTTGTTATGGGTTACCTATGTTATTAGGATGCGCGCGCATCCACCATGTGTTCGGGATGAGTGCTTCTTGTTGAGTTATACACGAAATATAATATAGCTATTTAATAGAAAGCAAATACACAACATTTTGGCGACGAGGACAGGATTAAGAAATATTACCACGTTAGAAAAAGCAAGGTATTGTAGCAGCTATTGCCATCCTGTGGAAAGATGGCAGATGAAGCACCAGAACCGATTCGAAACATCGGTAAAGTTCGAAAGTTTGTTGTTGGCACTGACTTCGAAGCGTATGCCGAACAACTGGAATTCTTTTTCGTAGCAAATAGCGTGACTGATGCTAAACAAAAGAAAGCTGTCCTGTTGACGAATATGCCTGCAGAAACCTACCAGTTAACAAAGGATTTATTTGCTCCACATCTACTAAAAGAGGACACGATCACGTACGAAGCGATAGTCGAGCGACTTCAGAAACAGTTAAAGCCCCAGAAATCAGCATTAGTAGCCAGATACGAGTTTGATAATCGAGCGAGAAACGCGGGAGAGACGGTGAGTGAATACGTAGCTGTTTTAAAACATTTAGCTACAGAATGTAAGTTCAACGAAACGATGCGTTTAGAGCGACTTAGAGATCGGTTAGTATCTGGTATTCGTGACAGAAAAATGATGTCAGAACTCTTAAAACTTAAGCTCGAAGAACTGACCTTTGACACAGCCGTTGCTAAATGCATCGCTATTGAACAATCATGTAAGGACGTTGAAACTATGCAAGGGGGGAGAGATTCAAACCATACGAATAAGGAATCAGATTCAGTGAATTTGTTAAATAAACCTGAAGGGCAAAACAGGAATGCGAAAGCCAAGAAAGGAAGGGACGCCTCTCCTTCCCCTGCAGACCCCAAGTGTTACCGTTGTCATGGTGATCATCAGCATAAATCCTGCCCCTTTAAAAATGCAATTTGCCATCATTGTAAGAAGAGCGGTCATATTCGGAGAGCTTGTAGAAAACGAAGCAAAGAAACACATAGTTTCAAACCCCCAGTAAATCACATTGATGATGATGATGATAGTGACAGCGATGATTACCTGGCTAGTTTAGAAATAAATAAAGTGGGAAACAAAGATAACGTAATATGGGTAACCCCCAAAGTTGAAGGAACACCCTTAAGAATGGAACTAGACACAGGCTCTGCAGTTTCAGTTATCCCGTATCAGTTATACAGAGCTAAGTTTAGTCACATAAAGCTACAGAGAAGTCAAATCACACTTAAAACTTACACAGGGGAAAAGCTGTATCCAAAAGGGAAAATCAATTGTAGAGTTAGTTAGTCTCGATGGCCAGACAAGACAGCTAGATATTCAAGTTATTGAGTCCCCGGGACCAGCGTTATTTGGGCGTGATTGGCTTTCTGTAATCAAACTAGACTGGGGCGAGATCAAAGCCCTTAAAGTAAACCAAGCGACAAACAATGAGACACAGGGTAAGGTAAATAACCTTTTGAAAAAGTATAAAAGTGTGTTCGATGATGATTTGGGCACCTTGAAGGGACACCAAGCTGACCTCAAATTAAAAGAGAACTGTCGACCCCGATACTGTAAGGCACGACAGGTGCCATATGCCTTGCGACCTAAGGTAGAAGCCGAGCTAACACGCCTTGAAAAGGAAGGGATTCTAAACAAGGTGGAACATAGTGAGTGGGCAACCCCTATTGTACCTGTGGTCAAACGAAATGGCTCAGTACGAATATGTGGGGATTTCAAAGTCTCTGTTAACCCAGTTTTAATCGCAGAACAATACCCTTTGCCCCGTATCGAGGATATTTTTGCCAATCTGGCTGGGGGTAAGCATTTTACCAAATTAGACTTACGCCAAGCCTATCACCAAATGGAGGTCACTGAAGAGACACGAAAGTATTTGACTATTAACACACATAAGGGTCTATTTCAGTATCAGCGGTTAGTTTTCGGTGTGACGTCAAGCCCAGCAATTTGGCAACGTGCCATGGACCAGGTGTTACAGGGTATACCTGGAACACAATGCATCCTTGACGACATGATAATTACCGGAAAGTCCAATGAAGAGCACTTAGAACGGTTAGAGGAAGTTCTAAAGCGATTACAAGAGGCAGGTCTGAGAGCAAACAAAAAGAAGTGTGAATTCTTCAAGGAGAAAGTTGTGTTTTGTGGCCATGAAATTGATGCCAATGGTTTACACAAAACCCAAGAGAAGATCGAGGCAGTAGTGAACGCCCCTAGGCCCGAGAATGTGTCACAAGTTCGATCCTTCCTAGGACTGGTAAATTACTATAATCGGTTTCTCCCCAACGCGGCTTCAGTTCTTCACCCACTACATGTATTGCTTCAGAAAAGTCACAAGTGGAAGTGGACTGAACAATGTGAGAAAGCTTTTAAAAATGCCAAGCACTTGATAACCTCTGACCTAGTCCTAACCCACTACGACACAACGCTTCCAGTTAAGATCGCATGTGATGCTTCACCAACCGGAATTGGTGCAGTGTTGTCGCATGTTATGGCAGATGGAAGTGAAAGACCAGTGGCTTTTGCATCCAGATCCCTCACCAAGACGGAGCGCAAGTACTCCCAGATTGACAAGGAAGCACTGTCAATTGTGTGGGGGGTCAAGAAGTTTCACATATATTTGTATGGGCGACGGTTTACACTAGTCACTGACCATAAACCTCTGACATCCATTTTCCATCCAGAAAAAGGAATACCCATAATGACGGCCACAAGATTCCAACGCTATGCATTGTTCCTAGCTGGATTCGAATACGACATTGAGTACAAGAATACGAAAGAACACTGTAATGCAGATGGTCTATCACGACTACCACTGCCAATGACGGAGAAAGAGGATACCGCTGTGGATGCAGCTGAAGTGTTTCATGCAACCCAGTTAAACATTCTCCCAGTCACCAGTGAATCGGTAGCTAAAGAGACAAATCGTGATCCCATATTAGCCAGAGTTTATGATTCAATAGTTAAAGGTTGGTCAGCACGTTTCGAGGGAGACAAGCCCTACCATGACCGACAGAGTGAACTTACAGTTCATCAAGGTTGTATCCTTTGGGGAATGAGAGTGGTCATCCCTAGCAAGTTGCAAGAGAGAATTCTGCGAGAGCTACATGATAGTCATTTGGGTACCGTCAAGATGAAGGCCCTATCACGAAGCTATGTGTGGTGGCCAAACATCAACCAACAGTTGGAGAACGTAGCGAAAACCTGTAGTGGTTGTCTACAGAACCAAAAGATGCCATCCAAGGTATCCTTACACCCATGGGAATGGACCACTTCACCATGGCAACGTGTACATATTGATTATGCTGGTCCTTTTAAGGATACTATGTTCCTGGTGGTGGTCGACGCACACAGCAAGTGGCCAGAAGTAATTCCTATGAAGTCGACAACCGCAGCGAAGACCATTGAAGTACTAAGAAATTTGTTTGCACGATTCGGAATCCCGGAACAGATTGTCTCCGATAATGGCCCCCAATTCGTCTCAGAAGAATTCCGGTCGTTTATGAAATCTAATGGAGTAAAACACATCACCTCTGCCCCATACCACCCTGCTACAAATGGCCTTGCAGAAAGATCAGTGCAAACATTCAAACAGGCACTGCGTTCAATGGAAGAAAGTTCGAAGCCAATTCAAGAGAAGTTAGCAAAATTTCTTATAACCTATAGAAATACCCCACATTCAACAACTGGAGAGAGCCCAGCACAACTTATGCTTGGCAGGCCAATACGGACACGTTTAGACTTAGTTAAACCTAATCTGAACAGGAAGATGGTGATCAAACAACAGGAGCAGAGCAGGAAGTCGGCCAGTGCCAAGAACAGAGCAACACGACAGTTGGAAGTGGGAGACATGGTAATGGCACGTGATTACCGAGGAAATCTAAAGTGGAGATCGGGAAAGGTCATTGAAAGGATCGGACCTTTGATGTATAAGATCGAAGTGACATCGGGCGTAATCTGGCGCAGACATATTGACCAACTGCTGCCAACCGAAGTTAAACTAAGCACAATACAGGACAGGGAGCAAACTGCGAATATGGGAGTAGTGCAGCCGGAAGTGATATCCAGTTCAAGTGAACAGACGTTGCCAATAGTAGCAGCAGACTTGCAAGTGCAACAGGGCTCCAGCACCCACGAACTTGTAAATGAGAGCACTACAGAGACATCAATGCCTCTGGCGACAACGAGCGAACGAAGATATCCAGAAAGAGTGAGGAAACCACCTGTGAGACTTGATCTCTAAAGTAGCAGTGTTACGGACAGATATAGCGGTTAGAACGTATATTTACAGTATATAGATATACAGCAAAGACTGTTAATTATGACTTTAATGTTAATGTTATGTGCAGCAAAGACTGGATATTGACTGAACAATTTTTAGTAGGGAGGAGATGTTATGGGTTACCTATGTTATTAGGATGCGCGCGCATCCACCGTGTGTTCGGGATGAGTGCTTCTTGTTGAGTTATACACGAAATATAATATAGCTATTTAATAGAAAGCAAATACACAACAATACTGTATAACTAATATCCGGTATGTGCTTGTAAACCATGTGGACAATTCAGGTAGCAAATCCTGAAATATGCCTCATGCCCCTCGTGAATCCCTATCATTTCAATGGCTATTTCAATGGCAACTAGCTGTTTTTCTTTACCAGTAGACCATGCATGTATACATGGATAAAATAGGAGAAGTATATTTACCCGTTTACAGATTAATCAGTTAATTGTTTATATTAATAAATCATACTTGGAATTCGGATGATATTATCAAGTTATCTTCACACTGTATAACAGCAACTTTTCCCATTAATTTACAGTAACATCATTTTCTAAATTCAGATATTCTCACATGGGATATATATACTTTAGTATCGTTGTATTGTTTACAAATTAAAATATTTTAAAAATGTTATAATTGATTTCGTAAACTTTAAGAATTCTGTAAGGAGATTTTAAAGGAATTTCAGAGGAAATTTTAGAATTTAGACATTTACAATCATAGGATTCTGTGAGACTGTTTCAAATTTTCGGAAAAACAAACACGCTCTTCTTTAATTAGTGCTATTACTTGTACTTAAAGTTGCATTAGCATATTTCCATCGCCCCAGCGACTTAATGCTCCGGTGGAGCGTCTTGCAGTGGCGGAAATCTTGGTGGGGCGGGGGAAAATTGACTAATTTTCGGAAATTTTGACCTAAAAGAAGGCTAAAAACAGTCTTTTCTTTTATTTTGTTTAATAATATATGTTTATGGGACTAGCATTGTACTACCTCGTGAAAAGGGAATATAGCGTTGAATACAAACTATAAAACCCAATCATATTTTAATTTAACAAGTATGTAAAAATTAGAGAAGTAAACTAGCAAAGTATCCCAATATTAAATGGCCAACTGCCAAGATTTCAGCATACACTGATCCAAACCACCATGCCCCTCATAACATGCAAATTTGAATCATACTGTGCAGTTGCTTGAGTCAGAGTGCATGCCAGTCTTAATATGAGTGAGCAATATAACTTCCATCTGAATCTTCAGTCAAGAAATGTTAAAATCCTTTAATTCGTTTGGCATTTCCCTATGAAATGACAATTTTTAAGCCTTCACATAACTATTTATTCTTTCTATAGTACCTTGCAATTGTAGAAGTAACCCAATAGTAGAAGTAATGCTAACTATAGCATGCCCCACATGACTGTCAGTGCTTCAATCCCATTCCCTTTTAATTATAATGGCCATTGTGATCAAAGCAATATACAGATATATGTTGCAACAAAAGAGGTTGGGTGGGGTAAAAATTTTTTCCAGCATTCCACCGGTGGGGTAGGTAGAAATTTTGTTTCGAACAAAGTGGGATGATTTTTTCTGGCTGCATTATACTTTCTCCTCGGCCCCCACCCCTGCCATAAATAATGATCGGTCCCTAAATGGAAAAGAAAGACAAGTGATTTAATTTATATATATATATATATATATATATATATATATATATATATATATATATATATATATATATATATATATATATATATATATGTTAATCACCGTAGGTAAGTATTTTTTAGTGAACAGGAAAAGTTGAGACTGAGTCGGATTCGAACCGGCGACCTCTGGGTTACCGGTAGAGCGATGGGCTTGGCTGGTAGAGCGATGGGCTTGTAACCCAAAGGTCGCCGGTTCGAATCCGACTCAGTCTCAACTTTTCCTGTTCACTAAAAAATACTTACCTACGGTGATTAACATATATAAAAATTATAAATGCCATATCGTGATGATTAACATATATATATATATATATATATATATATATATATATATATATATATATATATATATATATATATATATATATATATATATATATATATATATATATATATATTATGTACACGTTTTCACGCATCGTTTTAAAAGTTTTACTTATGGAGAAACAGGGCGGACTAGGCAGTCGGGCATTGGGGCGCAGACCGAGGCCCGGAGAACTCTGGGGCCCCGGAATTCACTAGATTTCGAATGACAACAAATCATTATCAGTCACCTAGCGGAAATCAGTGTTATATTTTTTATAGCACTTCAGACTGAGACTCTGCCCTTTCGAAGAAAACATTCAGAATCTATAGCAACTGCTTTTGATGACAGTACTGCAAAAGCTATTGCAAACCAAGGCAATTTTCTAGGGGCTGTGAAACTTATTGCTGAGTTCTATCCAATCCTGCAAGCTCATTTAAATAAAGTAATCAAGTTGGCAAAGAAACGCGATCCTATCATCAGGACGCGTGACCTACACAAAAAAGCCACAAATGGCTCGAGGTGACACCTTTAGAACGGAAAAGCCAAGCAACCCAAAAAATTTGCCCGAAACAAGTTACATGACGCAGGGCCGTAGCTAGCATGTATAGTTGGGGTGAGGGTGTAGGCCAAAAATTTCCGAATGACGAAAAAATTTTCCAAATATTTCATTGCCTACGAAGCCACGAAGCTGTTTGCTATCCGGAGAATGAAGACGCAATTTACAAACAAAAATACGCATATTCTACGCACAGATGTATTACAGAAGCATGCAGTGCTGTAAGAATCTCTTTTTGATTGGGGGTTGAGAACGAGGGCCAAAGGCCCGAGGAAATTTTAAAATTTATTAGAGTCTCTGAAATGCCATTTCCTGGACTTTGGGAAAGTTTTTTCAGAATTCTGGTGGTCAGAAAACAGCATTTTAGTATGTCGAAATTTACAATTTGCTTGCAATTTAGTTGTACTAAATGGGCAAATGCGTATTTAATTAACTATACACTTGGGGAAGTTGAAAGTATGGATAATATGATTCTTTGCAGTTTGTTGTGTATAATGTAAGCACCAAAAATTAATCAATTGTCATTATTTTAAAGGTATACTATTTAAACTAGTTTACCCAACAGGGTAGTGAATGCTGCCTTGGTATAGCATTGTTCTCAAATTTTAAAGAAATATTTGTAATCACCATTCCCCAATTAACCAAAATTTTGATCTCAACAAGTCTAGACAAAATTCCATCATAGCATGAAAGAGCATCGCAAAATTAGTAATATTCCAAAGTTTCGTTGCGAAATGTTGTAAAATGCGGATAATATAGCCTTGCGAAATTTGCAATTTTCAGTCAATTTAGATTACAAACGGGAAATGGTTACCACTTTTCCAAAATTTCGATCTTAACTAGCCTAAA